GACAAAGATGAATATTGTCATTGCTTTATGCCATATATATAAATTAACCTGAAGTTGATCATGAAATATACCTAGATAGAAAAGTTGGCCAGGCACGGTGGCTCACGTCTATAATCCCAGCACTTTGGGAGGCTGAGGTGGGTGGATCACTTGAGGTCAGGAATTTGAGACCAGCCTGGCCAACATGGTGAAACCCCATCTCTACTGAAAAAAAAAAAAAAAGTAGCTGGGCATGGTGGTACGTGCCTGTAATCACAGCTACTTCAGGTACTTGGGAGCTGAGGCAGGAGAATCACTTGAACCCAGGAGGAAGAGGTTGTGCTACTGCACTCCTGCATAGGCGACAGAGCAACACACTGTCACAGAACAGAAGAGAGAGAAGAGAAAAGAGAAGAGAAGAGAAGAGAAGAGAAGAGAAGAGAAGAGAAAAGAAGAGAAGAGAAGAGAAGAGAAGAGAAGAGAGGAAAAGTCTAAAATAGGCAAATCCATAGGGACCAAAAATAAGTACTTGCTAGGGACTGAGGGATGGAGGAATTGAGAGTCACTGCTAATGAGTATAGGGTTTCTTTTAGAGAGATGAAAGTCCCAAAATTAGGATGTAGTGATGGCTGCATAACCTTGTGACTATTAAAAAAAAAACAAAACCTTTCATTGTATACCATATGGGTGAATTGCATAGTACATAAATTATATTTCAATATTTTTTAAAAAGGCATCATAAAAAAAACAAAGCAGCTACAAAATGGAAGCAAATATTCATATTACATGTATCTGACAAAGTATGGACTATATAAAGAACACTTGCCACCCAATACAGTAACGTGATGACAGCCCAATAAAGATTGAGCAAAAGATCTGAACAGACACTTTATAAAAGAAGATATACACATGGCCAATCAGGGCATAAAAAGATGATCAACGTGATTCATCATCAAGAAATGCAAATTAAAACCACCCTATGATAGTACCAAACACCCATCAGAACGGCTAAAAGTAAAAATCTCAAGGGCTAGCAAGAATGTAGAGCAACAGGAATTGCCATACACTGCTGGGCAAAAAGACGTAAAATGGTACAACCACCTTGGAAAACTGCTAGGCAGTTCATTAAAAAGTTGAACACAACATCTACCATATAAGCCACTCATTCTCCTCCTAGATCTTCACTCGAACATACATGCATGCAAAGACCTGTACATGAATGTCTACAGCAATTTCATTTATGAGAGCTCCCAAACTGGAAACCACTCAAGTATTTATAAATACAAAAGTTTAAAAAATGTGGGCTGGGCGTGGTGGCTCAAGCCTGTAATCCCAGCACTTTGGGAGGCCGAGGCGGGTGGATCACGAGGTCAAGAGATCGAGACCATCCTGGTCAACATGGTGAAACCCCGTCTCTACTAAAAATACAAAAAAAATTAGCTGGGCATGGTGGCTGTGTGCCTGTAATCCCAGCTACTCAGGAGGCTGAGGCAGGAGAATTGCCTGAACCCAGGAGGCGGAGGTTGCGGTGAGCCGAGATCGCGCCATTGCACTCCAGCCTGGGTAACAAGAGTTAAACTCCATCACAAAATAGAAAAAATGTGAAACATCCATAACTTTGGAATACTACTCAGCAATAAAAAGGAACGAACCACTGAGACATGCTACATGGATGAATGTCAAAACAATGAGTGAAATAAGCCAGACACAACATGGTACATATGAGTCAATTTATATGATGTTTTATACAATATCGAATAATCTTGGCCAGGCGTGGTGGCTCATGCCTGTAATCTCAGCACTTTGGGAGGCCAAGGTGGGTGGCTAATAAGGTCAGGAGTTCGAGACCAGCCTGGCCAACACAGTGAAACCCTGTCTCTACTAAAAATACAAAAACTAGCCAGGCGTGGTGGCACATGCCTGTAATCCCAGCTACTCAGGAAGCTGAGGCAGGAGACTCACTTGAACCCAAGAGGTGGAGGTTGCAGTGAGCTGAGATGGCGCCACTGCACTCCAGCCTGAGCAGCAGAGGGAGACTCCATCTTAAAAAAAAAAAATTCTAGTAAGTAAAGTAGGTCACTGGTTGACTAGGGTCATGAATGAGGAAGAAACTTCCAAGGGGCCCAAGGAGTCTTGAGTGACGTGGACATTTTCTCTCTTGACTGTGGTGGTGGCTCTACGGGTATGATTCTCTCACATTCATCACGGAATTGTCCATTTAAATGGTTACGGTAACTTGTATGTAAATGATACCTCAATAAAGTTGATTTTACAAAGTAATGAGAACCAATGAAAAAGAATCAATATAATTTAACATTTTAAAAATTAGCATATCTAATTTTTTGTGTAAACAGAGCTTCTGAACTGCTTACTGTTGCACATACATAGTTTTTTCCCTTAGGTAATTCAAACATTCTTTGCCTCTAAACTGGATTTTGTGATTAATTTGCCTGACAAATCTCATACAAGGTTAATCCCACCCTAATTCCTCTCTGAATTACTAAAAATTCTTAATGAGTGTGGTCCATACTAATGAAGACAGGTTTTTTCGGATTTTTTTGTTTTGTTTTCATATGGAGTCTTGCCCTGTCGCCCAGGTTGGAGTGCAATGGCATGATCTCAGCTCACTGCAACCTCTGCCTCCTGGGCTCAAAAAGATTCTCCTGCTTCAGCCTCCTGAGCAGCTGCTATTACAGGCACCTGCCACCACACCTGGCTCATTTTTATATTCTTAGTAGAGACAGGGTTTCACCATGTTGGCTAGGCTAGTCTTGAACTCCTGCTTTAAAATGATCCTCCTGCCTCAGCCTCCCAAAGTGCTGGGATTACAGGCGTGAGCCACCGTGCCGGGCCAATGAGGTGTTTTTTTTGTTTGTTTGTTTGTTTTTTGTTTTTTGTAACACAAAAAGAGGGATGAATTCCTTGACAGAAAAGCTCACAGAGGGGCAGGGATAGCAGTGCCCTCATGTGACTTCCAGGCTTTGTTCTGAGGTTGGTTTTCTTCCAGACATTTTTATGTTTTTATGCCAAGCCATTTTGCAATAACTTTCGTTGCGAGTATACAACCCCAAGTTGCTTAGAAAGGCAAATTCTAAATCTACTTGAACTTTACCTCATAAAATTAAAGAACATCTGTAGGGCCAAAGGGATGAAACGATACAGATCTCCATAGAGAAACCACGTGTACCCAAGACCTATTATTGTGAGATTACTTCCCACACTTTCTCCTTCACTACTCACTGTAATCCTCTAATGTGAATATTATTATTATCCCCATTTTTTCCCACTATGGAAACTGATACTCAGAGAAACCCAGTTGTTTGCCCTAATTCTCCCAGCTGGTAAGAGGCAGAGCCGAGAGTTACACATTTGGGGTGCTTTGACTGACGTTTGGTTATAGCTCCATAAACACAAAACTTAAACAAGTAGATCCACGTAGCTTTGGATTTGAGTATTCATTTTTGCATTACCATAAGAAAAAGCACACATTGAAATACGCGGCTAACATCGTGCGGGGCTTTTGCCTGCCACTGAAATCTCATCATCTTCCAATTAGGCAACAGTATTTGACAAGAAAGGGATGCGCTGGCATCTTTATAGAGCAGGCTTCACATAAAACAAAGTCACACGGACGTCTAGGGAGTGTTTCCAAATCTGGGGAGAACGAGTGCTCTCCAGGAAAAACCAGAAATACGGCAAATTGTAATGCAAACAGAAGAACAAGGAACTAGAAAAGATTACACTTAGGTCATTCGAGAGTTAACGTGGGACCAAGCAGTCAAAAACCTTTGACTTATATCATGGCTGACTGTAACATACAGATCTCTAAAACTGCCAGTCACAACCCAGAACTGCCATTTGACAGACAGAAATACACATATGCTTCTGGCACGGAGAGCTTTAAAATACTCATACAAAAATATCATAACCTACAAATAATATTTTGAAGATAATGAAAGGATAACGAAATGCATTGATGAACATTGATTTGCATCCTAACAAGACACCAAGTTAATGTGTTGTTTAAACATTCATAAGGAAAAGCAGAATCTATGGAAAATAAATTGTTAAGCCTAATCATCCATTCTACATACGCTTGACAATCCAAAGTCTGAAAATCATTAATAAATCATGAAATTAAGTCTATATTCTGATCTTCCACAAAAATCTCCTCTGCCGTTAAACTTAATCATTTAATCATTTAATGTTCCACCATTTATTTATTCAGCAATGGTTAAAGCATAATATTCCAACACAGTTTCTATCAGTTAATTCTACTAAATGTAGCCCTGGGATATTCCTAGGAATCATACCAGTTAGAGTCAAGCATTTATGCAGGCAGGGAGGCTAATTTCAGCTTAAATTTGTAAAAACACATGTTCAAGTAAAGTCTCTATTTGAATATCTGGCTTTCTGATTTCTTCCCTCCTTTGGTAATCTCCGGTGTTAATGGAATGCAGAAATAACCTAATGAGGGGATAATGCCATGGTCTGACGCCCATTATTATTCTCCTATGTCTGGCATGAACTCCCATTTCAATCACATGCACTCTTTTCTGTCAAAGGAAGAGTACAAGGGAAGGGATGGGTGAGGGCAGTCACCATCTGCTTCCCTCCTCCGGCATCCCTGGAAATGAAGACAAGGGTGGGAGTTTCTCCTAGAGATGGGAGCAAAGTGTACCTCACAGTGGGCCCACTGAAGTGTCTTCAGGCAGCCACATTTGGCCCTGACATATCAGAAAGCAATACAGACTCCCTATAGCGGGAACGTCAGGTTCACTGTCAAGGCTCTCGATGTTCAGTCTAGCCCAGCAGCTGCAGACTGGTTCAAGTGAGGCCTGTAGACTCCTGCATGCAGCCCACTGTCTTCGGTTGGATACAGGCTTCTCTAGTATCCCACAGGCCTTCCAGCTCCCTCCTGCCTTACCTGGCCCACTAAAATCGTTTCTTTTCCCACCTGGCCTCTTTAGACCTTGAGTTTGCAAGTTGGTTCAAAACCATCAACCAAACGAGGTACTTACAGCTGCATGACCAGGTACAAGTGATTTGGGCTTTCATAAATGTCTTCCAGGGCGACAATGTTTTCATGCTTAATCCTGAAAAAGAAATAGACACACAAAACAGTGAGTTTAATCAGAAAGGAAAACTTTTTAAAACAGACAGCATTGTAGCAACAAGTTACAAAACAGAATCCAAAACTCCTGAACAAAAACATTTCACACTTCACAATCTCGTCCCCAGACTTGTTCCAGACCCATTTGCTAACAGTACTTCCCGGATCTCCACTCCTCTTCATTCCTAAGCCCCAATACCCTACAGTTTAGCAACCGTGGATTAACTATTGATGCTTCCTGTGAATCCCAGAAATGGGCCCAACCCGCCCACATCCTATTATCTGACAGGGCCCAACTCAGACTCAGGGCCGCTGGACAGAACTGTTCCCTCTTCTGTTGTCTCCCAGTGGCCATCACGAACTCGCCTGACCATTAATTCCACGAAAATCTGTCCCCGATGATGGGCCTATGTTCCAAGGAGCAGGGAGAACTGGTGGGACAATGGAGAATATACGTGTTCCAGGGAACATTTCTCTGACATGTTCACAAGGTCAGGAGATTGAGACCATCCTGGCTAACAGGGTGAAACCCCATCTCTACCAAAAATACCAAAAACGGCCAGGCACGATGTCTCACGCCTATAATCCCAGCACTTTGGGAGGCCAGGGCGAGCAAATCACAAGGTCAAGAGATCGAGTCCATCCTGGCCAACATGGTGAAACCCCATCTCTACTAAAAATACAAAAAAAAAAAAAAATAGCTAGGTGTGGTGGTATGCACCTGCAGCCTCAGCTACCCAGGAGGCTGAGGCAGAAGACTCACTTGAACCCAGGAGGCAGAGGTTGCAGTGAGCCGAGATTGTACCACTACACTCCAGCCTGGCTACAGAGCAAGACTCCGTCTCAAATATATATATATATAAAGTTTTATCTGGGTGTGCCTGTAGTCCCAGCTACATGGGAGGCTGAGACAGGAGAATCGCCTGAACCCGGGAGGCAGAGGTTGCAGTGAGCCAAGATTGTGCCACTGCACTCCAGCCTGGGTGACACAGCGAGACTGTCTCAAAACAAAAACGAAAAAACTAACCTGACTCCCTCATTGGGGTTCATATCCCCCACCCCACTACCAAATGTCACTTCAGCTTCCCAAGCAAACTAGATCACTGCTACTCAAAGTGTGGTTCTCATAGGGGCAGCACCAGCATCTCCAAAGAGCTTAGCAGAAATGCAAATTCTGAGGCCCCGTGACAAGCACAGAGTATACAGGTTGAGGGCAGAGCCCAGGAATCAGTATTTTAATAAGATGCTCAGATGATCTACACGTGCTAACTAGAGCTTGAGAAATATCGTATTGGACCAGTACTGCTCAGACTTCAAGGTGCAAATGAATTGTCTGGGGATCTGGCTGCGTGGTAGGCCCTGAATCAGCAGGTTTGGCTGGGGCCTGGGAGGCTGCATTTCCCACCAGCTCCCAGGAGATCCTGGTGCTGCCGACCTGCAGACCCCACTGTGAATAACCACGTTCTAACTAAAGAACCAGGGCAGAAGGAAACAGTTGAGTTCTAGCCTTTGGCACTATCCATTAAGAGCAGTTTCTGCTCAGAATTTAAGGCTTGATATTATTTAAAGCATTTGAGAGAAAAAAATTATTTCATTACTCAAGGAGATAATTAGCTCTTACCATAAGCCTCTCATCGAAATGACTGCTGAACCATTTAAAGACAAGCACAGAACACACAGATTCTTGTGAACCTCCTGAAAGCAAGAACTACATCATTCACCCATTTGCTCCTAGCGCCTCACACAGATCCGCTTAGTAACGCTTGCTAAATGAATGAATGATATTGAAAGGCTGCTGCCAGTGAGCAGCAAGACGCCTTATGTAGTTAGGAAAATGGAAACCCTTTTCCTAAGTGTGTGATGTCTTCCCTACAAAGAGAGGTTTATAAGGTGGAAAACAAACAAGAGTATTGTCTTCTTTCTGAGACGGAAGAGAACACGATGATTAACAAAGACTGGCAAGGCCTTCCTTTGAATTCTACAGCTTGTAGTAGTTAATGCAGTTGTTTTGCTGGAGCTAAAACAATACTAAATTCACATTCCACCCGATTCCAAAGAATAGAATCTAATTACTTGTCAGCCATGGTTTCTGCACAGCCTGAGCAAGACATGAACCAAATAAAGATGCCAGCAAGGAAACCAAGAGAGCTTAACTTGAGATTACCAAGACCCTGCAAATCACCGAATTATCATGATTAGTATACCTGAAGGAAGAGGCCCACAAAAAGTAGACATCATACAGATTTTCCCTTTTTGGAAAAATTGTTTTAATTTGCCATTGGAATCAACCACATGGTCATGAACGTTTTCTTTTAGTCAAGTTCATTTGAGAGTTAATTAAGAGTCTAGAGTTCTGGGGAAATAGGAGGAATGGGATTATATGAAGAGTGGCCAGAGAAAATTCAGGGCACATAGTTACATTTGAATTGCAGCAAAATGGTGAATGCTTTTTCAGTTTAAGTATGTCCCAAGTATTGCATGGTTGTTTAGTGGACATTCAGATGTAACCGGGCACACTGTATTTTCATGTACTAAATCCAATCACTCTGCTTACATAAATCACTCAATCTCTAAACTGGGTTTAGAGAGTGGCACCAGCAGCCCTAGCTTGCCTTCGAGATTGAGTCAAGAAGGCTGTCTGAGCCCCAGAGTTCAGTCATTAATTCAGATTCCATGATATGCAAAGAATCAACTCTGTACAAAGCACTTGCCTAGCCAATGTAGCGGACCCCAATAAATGAGGTCTACAGTCCCCTCCTTTGATACATGGGATAGAGACATTAAAGCCTATTTAACCTGCCATGTCTTACATGAGCTCTAGCTTGAAATTGAGTTTAATCTATTGGAGCATTCCAGAGAAGTACTGCACACAGCAGGAACAATCTCAAATGTCAGTCTCACAGTGGCTGGAAAGACACCTTAACTATTAATATCTCTCCATCGGCCAATCAAGCGATCAAGCAATTGTCATTTCCTGAGTTTCTGCTAAGTGTCTGGAAGAAGGTAAGAAAAATAAAAAATAAAGTTTTGCCATCAGTAAGTTTATCACCTAGGCAAAGAAACTCAGGAAGAAATTAGAAAAGAATCAAATGCTAAATTCTGTAGAATTGCCTTTAAGCTGTGAGAAACCAGAATCCGAATGGGTCCGAATTATGGCGAAGGCCTCAAGAAGATGATGGGAGTTGAGCTGGAATGAGTAATGTTTGAATAAGCATACTTGAGAAATTTCAAATAAATCCTAAAATGGCCTCTTCATATCTCTTAAGAAAAGTGGTTTAATTAACTTGGAGCTGTTCAACACAGTAAAAAAAAAAAAATTATTCTGGCCTCCCACATCTGTTCTCAGGTACTTTATTCTACCCTCACATTCCTTACAATACGCAAAAGCTGAACGTAAAGTTTTAACATTATTTTAGTGCATGAGTTATTTTCAAAAAATGCCATATGACCACCCATGCATTTAGGACTAAGACATCAACACTAACAGAGGACTTCCACGCAAAGGCTCACTTCATGCTACATTTGCCACTGGAATCAATCGCATGGTCACAAACATTTTCTTTTAGTCAAGTTCCTTAATTAACTCTCAAAGTTAATTAAGAGCCCAGATTTCTGGGGAAATAGGAGGAATAGGATTATATGAAGAGTGGCTGGAGAATATGCAGGGCACACAGTTACATCTGAATTGTATGAATGCTTTTTTTCAGTTTAAGTACATACAGTGAATGCTTTTTTCAGTGTAAGTACATCCCAAGTATTGCTAAATTTCTTTTTTTTTTTTTTCCAGAAAAAGAATAATAAGAAAAAGAATAAAGAAGAGGAAGAAAGAGAAAGAGGAAGAGGGAGAGAGAATGGGGGTATTGCTTTGTTGCCCGGGCTAGAATGCAGTCTAAATATGGGTATGCCTATAATTGTCCTTAATAATGGAGACATGAAAGAAAATGAGGGAAGAGAGTAACAAACAAGGAGCCAACCAACATTTCGTTTAAACTTCTAAGTTGATATGATGTGGTACTGATAAGAGTGTACATTTTGTGTAAAGTGGAGAGCTCTATAAATGTTAATTACGTCCACTTGTTCCAGATCTGAGTTCAAGTCCTGGACATCGTTGTTAATTTTCTGTCTCATTGATCTGTCTAATATTAATGTTGAAGTCTCCCACTATTATTGTGTGGGAGTCTAAGTCTCTTTATAAGTCTTGTATGTCTGGGTATTCCTGTATTGGGTGTGTATATATTTAGGATCTTTAGCTCTTCTTGTTGTTGCATTGATCCTTTTATCATTATATGATGTCCTTCTTTGCTTCTTTTGATCTTTGTTGCTTTAAATACTATTTTATCAGGGGCAAAAATTGTAACTTCTGCTTTTTATTTATTTATTTTTGCTCTCTGGTTGGTTGGTAAGTCTCTCTCCATCCCTTGTTTTGAGTCTTTGTGTATCCTTGAATGTGAGATGGGTCTGGATGCAGCATACAGTTTTAGTTTTTTGTCGAAATTGCCTGTCTGTCTTTGAATTGGGGAATTTAGTCAATTTAAATTTAGAATTAATAATGATATATTACTTTTTGGTATTTTTTAGAAAGGCTGATACTGTTTGTTCCTTTCTATGTGTAGTGGTTCTTTCAGAAGCTCTTGTAAAGCAGGCCTGGTGGTGATGAATTCTCTGAGTGCTTGCTTGTTCACAAAAAACTTTATTTTTCCTTCACTTATGAAGCTTAGTTTGGCTGGATGTGAAATTCTTGGTTGAAAGTTCTTTTCTTTAAGGATGTTGAATATTGGTCCCCACTCTCTTCTGGCTTGTAGGGTTTCTGCTGAGAGATCTGCTGTAAGTCTGATAGGCTTCCCTTTGTGGGTAACCTGACCTTTGCTAAATTTCAGAGTTTCATTATTCATTCAACAAATATCTGTTGGATGCCTGCCAGGTACCAGGCACAGTCCTAGGTACTCTGAATCTAGTGGAAGAACAAGACACGAGAAAGGTAGT